TGACTGTTTGTGATGCTATTTTGCATTTGAAATCGGGTCAATGATAAAGTGGTATTTTCCAATGTACAATATGGTCCTATTTTCTTGAATTTCATGAATAATCTTACTACCTTACAAGGTAGTTCATAACTGTTGTATATGTAACTTGGAAATCCATAGGTACAATCAACATATCGTTTCGAAAATTTTATCTTTCTTGCAATATCATTAAATTCTTTACTCTTAGTCGTTGTTTTATGGTGGAGAAATTTATTTGGGACTATCGTCAAGAAGATGTTAAAAAAAAAAAAAATTAGATATTTAAAAACTATATGAAAAGTACTATAAATTGCAATTTTTGCATACTAATTTGATGAAAAAATACACCGTAAAATATCGGGAAAATGCATAAATATTTTTACTAGACTATAATCGAAATCTCGGAGACACACCTCAACTAAAGTAAAGTCCTATTACCCCCCAACCCAACTTATTTTTTTTAATTTTGTGTACCTTTTTGGCTTACGTGACATCCGAATATCTCTCACGCGCCTCAATTGCGTGGAGTCACGGAGTGTGCCACGTAAGACAAAAGGTATACAAAATTTAAAAAAATAAACTCGGGGGTAATAGGACCTTAGTTTAGTTAAGGTGCATATCTAGGACTTCGGTCATAGTCTAGGGAAATACTTGTGCATTTTCTCTAGAATGTTTTTCTAAATTCTTATAATTTGACTTTAAAAAAAAGGAGACTATGACAACTAAAAACGAACGAAAAAGTATATAATTAAGCTTATGACTTTAGGTCAAAATTATATTTCATAGTTGATTCAAAATTGCAAGTATGATCGCTCAAATTACCACAAGGGAATAATAGTTTGATGAAAATGATGAGATTATTGTTGTGTTCGGTAGAGGAAATTATTTTCCATTTTTTTCTGGTTCGGTTTGACTTGAATGTTTTGGCTCAATTTTTTTATTTTTGGACTCCATAATAATTTGTTTATATTTTTTATTGAATCTTCTTGTTCTTAGATTATATATATATATATATATATATAAAATTATAGAATAGCTGTTATTTTTTCTTCTACCAAGAATTTTTTTTTTTCAACAGGAAGAACTATAAAGTTCTACCTCTAAGAAACGTCTATCTTTGATTAAAGGCTGAAATGGAATGATGAATGTCAAATTTGTATTAAGATCAATGCATTGTATAATTAAATTAATTAAATCACACTCTAATTATTAATTGCCACGAAATTAACAGTAATTTCTTTTTAAACATAATTTATATATTGTGGGGGCGGCAGAATTAAGGATCTATACTCGACTAATGAACTTTGTAATTGCCTAGGTCATTCCACTTTCGTTTTCCACTAACAAAAGGTAAACAATTTTAAAATAATGAAACTATTGTTAGTTCCTCTCTATCCAATAATTTCTATTTGAAATTTCAAAAAAAAAAAATCATATATGACACGATGAGAGGAAATTATTTAATTCATAATTTTATCCTTTTATAAAAGTTGACAATAAATTAAGATTTTTGCTGGTATATATGTACTTGTGTGTTAATGGCTATGTTAGAAAGTCAAGAAGCAATTATGCATTCATTATTTAATGTCAATAGTGTCTTGGGACATCCAAAAAAGTGAAATGTGCTTAAAGATTTGAGGCTTTGACAATATTATTTATTTATATTAATATGATTAAAAAAATTAAACAATGAAAAGAAAAGAAAAAATTATGTGATTAAAGTTGGTTCAATACAATCATCAATTCATGATCAAGCCAAAACATATTAAACAAAATATTAAATTAATAAAAATAGTAGCATTATGTTGTCTACTTGTGCTTTTTATAAAGGACCAAATATATATTTGAATTCGTTTTCAAAGCCAGATAGAGACAGTTTGGAATGGACGGTAGGTGATTTTGAATTTAAAATTTATCGATTTTTATATATAATTTTCATGAAGTTATTAAAATATAATAATAATAACAATAATAATAAAATTTACTAATAAATATTTAATAAACTTCTTAATATTAATATAACTCTTTTTTTTTTTTTTGATAAAAAACTACTTGATTCATGTGCATGTACATACAACACATTGTGAATCGGCCCTTGTTGTGGCCAATTCCAATTTCCCTTAGCAAGTTCTATAGCTGTCCTTGTCCATTCCCAACCTTTTATTTACAAGTGGCTAGACGGTTCAACATTTTACTCATCAACCAATCACTTTTTAGTTCACAATAAACAAAATATTGTTTTTTTCTATAACAAGATCACAAAGCGACATAACTAGGTTTTAATATTGATGCTGAAAATAGCCAATTATCATGGTGAGAAATTATTATATGTTTTTTTTTTAAAAAAAAGAATTATTCATCTACATATATACACTCACGGATGGGTTTTTTGTGACAAGACTTGAAGATAGGAGATATTAGAAGCGAGAATACAAATGATTCTAAGAAAAAGAATGATTTTCTACTAGTGAAAGGTTTTAAAGTTACCCGAAATTCATTAGATTTTTATAATTAATATTAAGAAAAAAGTCTAACAATAACATATTCTCTTAATGATAGCATATATATATATATATATATATATATATATATATACACACACAATAGACCCCAACAAGTATTGAATTGAGACAAGTAGTAGTAGTTCTTTCTACCTTTTATGGTACTATATCAAACAAAATATATTCATTCCAACTTTATTCCCTATTTTGTTTGTTTGTTTGGGGTATATAATGATGATAATGGACCTATCTATTGTCAGTCAGTAGCTGGAAACCCAATTATAGAAATATCTTAAAGATTACGAAAGATCAAACGTGATATAAATTATCCAATTTTTTTTAAAAAAACATTATTATTATATTTAACAAATTAAAAAAACTAGAATATATATTCTTGTTTCTAAAGTTGTAAAGAATATACTGTCACTTTTTATTTTCACTACTAAGTGATCAGGTTAATTTCACTAATTAAGATAGGTTCAATCAATAAAACTTAACGTGCATGAAACATATTTAAACAATGATCCAATTAATTCTGCGTATGTTTTGACTATACTGCTAATCTACCATCTCTGTGCACATAACAATTGACAAGCGTTATAAGAGTTTTTGGCCTCCTTAATAATCTTTATAGTTTAAATTCTGAATCGCGAGCTTAAACTGATGTAGTATCTTTCTATATTTTTATAGCAAATATACAATATATATATATATATATATATATATATATATATATATATATATATTTGTATCATAAAAGCAGATGCTAATATAGCTCTGCTAGTTTCACAATAACTTGGTACTTCCGTAGTTCAACTCTTAACAAATTGCAGATTTAACCTATATAGTTGTCCATTCACTGAATAAATTAAAAACAATTGCTGATTATTAGTTCACGTATAATTTGTGTATATTCTATGTATATTCTTTAGAAAAAGTAAAACAATATACATTCGTGGTTATTTGTGTAAACTGATACAGGCATGAAATTAAACCCGGCCCATCGAATAGATGCTAAGTCTTCATTAGTCCATTGCAAACTCAATTTTCATTTTACATGAAATGGAACTTATGGAATAAGGAACTCCTTTTTTTTTCTTTCTGGAAACTATGTCAAATCCCTTTGAATTTGGCAGCAAAATTTACTTTAGTAATTTAACCGTACGAGCATTTAATTACTCCCTTAACAATTCTAAACTAATTAAATATCATCCTAAGAGCTGACGTGGCAAAGTGAGTGTACTCACTCTCAAATTGAAAAGTAAAATCACACGCATGACATTTTTTTTTTCCGTTCTTGATGGTTTGGTTTTAATGCTTCCTAGTGAACAATTTTTGTTTCGTTAAATCATACATATTATTTGGAATAAAATGTGTTCACATCGAGCATAATGATCATAGAGGATTCTTATTATCGAATTTATTGATAAATAGTTGATTGATGGTGTTATTTGTAGCAAGCACATAGACAAGAGGCATTGTTTATAATCTAACTCGAATTGGGGTTGTAAAAACATAGTTCAAACAACTAACACAGCCAACAATATGGTTGAGTTTTAAGGATACAACTTCAAACATGAACAGAATCTGGTTTTTACTAACACACCACAACCTCAAATCAAACAAATAAAGAATCACAATCTTGAATTTTTACATTGACATGGATTGTACTTGAGGAGCTTGATTCACTTGTTGGTTCCCATAGTGTCGCTGAGCAACTATACCATTCCACCCTGCACAACATTTATTGTAACTGTTGATATTAGTGTTGATGTTATGTAAACAACTAGTTAGTTATTAGTTACAGCTTTTCAATTAGTTAGTTATATTTCCATTAGTTAGTTATTAGCTTCCATTAGTTAGTCAGAAGTTGGTTAGTTGTTAATACTCTGTTAGTTAGCTATATAAATGGCTGCTACAAATTCATTGTAATCTTCTTCTTTGTATTGTGTTTTCCACAACTCTTATCAATTCAGATCACAGAAGAGTTGAGTTCTATCTCTTCTTTCTCGCTTCTTCTTCTCTTCTTCCTTAATCTCCTTCAATGGAGATCCTCTAAGCATGTGCTGTTCTTTTGTTTAACATGGTATCAAAGCAGGTGTAGATCACTGTTCTTATCATCTCTGAAAAATCGAAATTCATCTTCTTGTCAATTTCTGCACTCATCTGAAGGTCGAAGAAATCGAATTCATCTTCTTGTCAATTTCTGCACTCATCTGAAGGTCGAAATCCTTCTTCTTGTTGATTTTCTTCAGCATTCTATTATTTGGTTCCTGTGAATTGAATTCATTATGGTTGAAGTTTCTGGCCAAGCTTCCATATCAGGAACAGGAGGAACAGGAGGGAACACAATCGATATTAGTAACCCTCTCTACATACATACATCTGATAATCCAAGTTTGACCCTAGTTCCAGTAGCTTTTGAAGGAATTGGTTATCGATCATGGCGACGAGGCGTAATGAGATCTTTATCTGTGAAAAACAAGTTAGGATTCATTACTGGAGAGTTCAAACGCCCTTCTTCAACATCTCCACAATATTGTCAGTGGGAGAGATGTGATAACATGGTAATATCTTGGATCCTAAACTCTCTTAGCAAAGACATTGCAGACAGTGTAGAGTATGTGTCTGATGCAGTAGAACTATGGAAAGAGTTAGAAGATCGATATGATCAAACGAATGGTGCCAAATTGTTTCAAATTCAAAGGGATATCAATGATCTGAGTCAGGGAGTTCTTGATGTTACTGTATACTACACTAGGATGAAGAAGCTCTGGGAGGAGTTGAGTAATCTGAGTATCAAAAACCAGTGTAGTTGTGCCTGTAGCTGTGGAGGTAAAGAAATTATGCACAAGGCTGAACAAGATCGAAGATTGATTCAATTTTTAATGGGGCTTAATGAAGTCTATACTGTTATTAGAGGTAATATTCTGATGATGAATCCACTACCATCTATGGCTCAAGCCTTTGCATTACTTGTACAAGAAGAGAAACAAAGGGAATTTAAGCCACATAGTCAAATGTTTGCTGAAGGAAGTTCAATGAATTCATCCATACGTGGTGGTTCATCTAATCCATCAAGTTCTGCCAATGCTAGTTCATCAAACTCGACAGGAGGAAGATTTAGAACAAATTATGCACCAAGCAATTATCCTGCAAACAATAAGCCTAGACCTTTTTGTGAGCATTGCAAGAGATCAGGGCATATTATTGATAAATGTTACAAGTTACATGGCTATCCCAATCAAAATAACTCATCTAATGGTCAAGGTGTTAATCAAAATCAAAGGGTACAAACCAATTACAATACAAGCAGTAGGTATGCTAGAGGTAAAAGAATGGTGGTAGCTAATGTTTTTGCAGAATCACCAAATGGAAAAGTTGATGCTCATACAGCCTGTAGTGCTAATCTCACCAATGAACAATATGATCAACTTATTAATCTGTTGCAACACATTCAATTAGGACAACCTGAAGATGTTGATTCTGAGGAACAAGTAACTTGTGGAGCTGCAAACTTTGCAGGTATGATAGCTTGCAACTCATCTATTGATTTTGATAAGCTGTCGTGTGGTTGTCTCAAATCAAGGACTGATTTATGGATACTGGATTCAGGAGCTACACATCATATGACCTTTAATATCAACCATCTTTCACATGTCACTAACTTACCATATCCTATGTTAGTTAAATTGCCAAATGGATACAAAGTTAAGGTGACTAAAGTTGGAGATGTTAGAATAAATGACATGATCACACCGTTCAGAGTTCTTTTTATCCCTTCTTTTAAATACAATTTGATTTCTATTAGTTCCTTGTCTCTACATCTCAATTGTACTACATCATTCTCTAACTCATCTTGTACCTTGCAGGGCCCTTCAATGAAGAGGCCTCTGGAGATTGGTAGAGAACAAGATGGATTATACTTTCTTTGCTCAGATTGTTTAAAAAAGAAAAAAGACAGTCCATTCATTTCACAAGTCTCATCTTCAATGTCTTGTTCTTCTCACAACAATAAGATAGGCTCTCAATGTCAATGCTTCTCTCATTCTTGTAGTACCATCAATCATTCTTGCAATCCTTTGTTCAATTTTCAGAATGTTAGATCAACTGTAATGAACACAATTCCTAGTGACACTAATAATGTACTTTCTGATTCTGTACCTCTTTTATCTCATGATTCTTGTAATGATTTGTTATGGCATTACAGACTTAGGCATGTGCCTTTTATAAAGATGAAAGGGATTACATCCATTCCTGTGATTTTTTCATCTAAACAACCTTTTACATGCAATATTTGCCCTATGGCCAGACAAACTAGGCTTTCTTTTCCACCTAAGACTCATAATACATCAAGAATTTTTGAACTTCTGCATATAGACCTATGGGGTCCTTATCATTTACCCACTCATGACAATTTTAAATACTTCATTACCTTAGTTGATGACTTTAGTAGAACTACTTGGACACACTTGTTGAGTTGTAAAAGCAATGCTTTACACATTGTGAAATCCTTTGTTAATATGGTAGAAAATCAGTTTAAGACAAATATTCAAAAAATAAGATCAGATAATGGTCTTGAGTTTGTGAATCAAGAATCTATCCTTTATTTTCAATCCAAAGGAATATTACATCAGAAATCTTGTCCTTATACACCACAACAAAATGGTGTGGTAGAGAGAAAGCATAAATATCTACTAGAAACAGCTAGAGCTCTTCTTTTCCATTCCAAGTTACCTACTAAGTATTGGGGAGAATGCATACTTACAGCCACATATATAATTAATAGACTCCCTTCTGCATATCTTCACAATAAGTGTCCTTATTCCATAATGTATAATCAAGAACCTCAATACTCTCACATGAAAAGTTTTGGCTGTCTTTGTTTTCCTACTACACCTAAACATCAAAGAACTAAATTTGAACCTAGAGCTACACCTCATGTATTCCTAGGATATCCTTTTGGAGTTAAAGGTTATAAGGTGTTAAGTTTGAGCAGTAAGAAGATACATATTTCTAGAGATGTTGTGTTCCATGAAACAGTTTTTCCTTTTTCTAGTATGATCAATTCTCCTATCAACAATTCTTCTTCAAGTTCTACATTTGATAACGTTTTTTTGACAATGATAATATTGGTATCACCTCTCCAGAACCTGAACAATGTGATCCCATTTTAACTACTTCTCCTTCACCAAACCTCACATCCTCAGAATATGATCCTCCCATCAGAAAATCTACTAGAACTCATAAACCTCCAGTTTACCTTAAAGACTATATGACCTCTTTACATGCCTCTTTTTCACATCACCATCATATAGCTTCTACATCCTTGTATCCTGACAATCAATCACTTATATTGAGTGTGTCACATGATTGTGAACCATCATCATTTAATGAGGCTGCAATGAATCCTGCCTGGCAAGATGCAATGACACAAGAATTGACTGCATTACATGACAATGATACTTGGGAACTTATGCCACTTCCTACTGGTAAAAAGGCTATTGGATGTAGATGAGTTTACAAGGTAAAACATAAGGCTGATGGGAGTATAGAAAGGTACAAAGCAAGGCTAGTTGTAAAGGGTTACACTCAGCATTATGGAGTAGATTATATAGAAACTTTCTCTCCAGTCATCAAAATGACAACTGTGAGAGTTTTGATAGCCACTGCAGTAAAGAAGCACTGGAATATATACCAGTTAGATGTTAATAATGCTTTTCTTCATGGAGAGCTGCATGAAGAAGTATATATGGATATTCCACAGGGATTGGATGTTACAACTAAAGGCATGGTTTGTAAGCTTAACAAGTCCCTATATGGATTAAAACAGGCCAGCAGACAATGGTGTGCTAAGTTGTCTGATGCCTTAAAGTCTAGGGGATACAACAACTCCTTGAATGACTACTTTTTGTTCTATAGAAAACAAGGTTCTTCTACTGTGTTTATAGCTGTATATGTAGATGATATTCTACTTACTGCAAATGATGCTGAAGAAATTGATCAGTTAAAGAACTATCTTCATAACCAATTCAAAATCAAGGATTTGGGAAAGCTGCACTATTTTTTGGGCCTGGAAATACTATATACAGAAGCTGGAATGCTTATCTCCCAGAGAAAATTTGTGCTTGATCTTCTCAAAGAGTATAACTGCACTACATACTCTAGTCTTGCTTCTCCTCTTGATTCTACCATCAAGCTCAAAGCCAATGAAGGGAAACTTTTGGAGAATCCTAAGTCATATAGAAAGTTGATTGGAAAGTTAAATTTTCTCACCAATACAAGATTAGATATTGCATATGGAGTACAACATCTGAGTCAGTTTATGCAAGAGCCTAGAGAACCTCTTTTGCAGGCTGCATATCATCTACTTAGGTACCTTAAAAAGGATCCAACCTTGGGTTTACTCATGTCTTCTACTAATGATTACCAGGTCCAAGCCTTTTGTGACTCAGACTGGGCATCCTGTCCTGACTCAAGGAAGTCTGTTACTGGTTATATTGTGTTGTTGGGATCAAGTCCTGTCAGCTAGAAATCGAAGAAACAAGAAACTATATCTCTATCTTCAGCTGAAGCTGAATATAGGTCTATTAGGAAAGTAGTAGGGGAATTGCTATGGTTAAGCAGATTGTTTGAAGAGCTAACTGTGCCATGTGCTAGTCCTTTTCCTGTTTTCTGTGATAGCCAATCAGCATTACAAATTGCCAAGAATCCTGTATTCCATGAAAGAACTAAGCATATTGAAGTCGATTGCCATTTTGTGAGAGCTAAGCTTCAAGAAGGACTAATCTCATTGCATCATATTGGAACTGGTGAACAATTTGCTGACATTCTAACCAAAGCACTCACTGGAGTGAAGCATTCAGCAATCTTAAGCAAGTTGGATCTGCTTGCTACACCTCCAACTTGAGGGGGGGTGTTGATATTAGTGTTGATGTTATGTAAACAACTAGTTAGTTATTAGTTAGTTATATTTCCATTAGTTAGTTAGAAGTTGGTTAGTTGTTAATACTCTGTTAGTTAGCTATATAAATGGCTGCTACAGATTCATTATAATCTTCTTCTTTGTATTGTGTTTTCCACAACTCTTATCAATTCAGATCACAGAAGAGTTGAGTTCTATCTCTTCTTTCTCACTTCTTCTTCTCTTCTTCCTTAATCTCCATCAATGGAGATCCTCTAAGCATGTGCTGTTCTTTTGTTTAACAGTAACAATGTTAAGATATTCGTGGCTTAAAGAGTCTCATCGTCATTCTATTAGTTTAAGTTTTTAGATGAACGAGACAGGTAGTAGAATATTAATTGTAACCAAGCGTGACATGACATACCTAGAGCGGGATCAAGTCCCCTGTTTCGAAGCTCTCTGAATTCTTGACAAAGAGAGCAACATGGACAGAACATATGGGAAATCATGTCTGAATAAGGAGCTTCCACTAGATTATATCTTTGTCTCAATTGGGTTCTATATTTTGAGCCCATGATCCACTGAGAGCAGACAGCAGGCATCATCAGCATGTATATGAAAGTCCCCAAAGGGCATGCTGCATTAATCACCAAACACACAAAAAATATCAAACTTTAGTATTGGTTTATTCAAAGAGTTTTAACTTCTGTATACCGACAAGTAAGATGGGTCGACTGGGAAACTTACTCATTTGTCCTGCATCAAGGACTTCTGCTATTTGTCCAAATGTTACACAAGGTAAGAACGCCGTCATGACAGCTGTACAAACAAACAAGAATGTAATTTTTAGAAGCGGATCAAGGATTTTAAGTCAAACAAATGTGAAGATGTTGGGATTCCAATATCCCCACACAACAAAGTTAACTCTGGTACCATGATAAAACAATGAATTTTTGGGCCTAAATCAATTTTAAAAACTAGCTCAAGAGGTGATGATTGACCAATATTCCCCCACGCCACCAGGACTGGACATCTAAAGTGTGAACAACATAACATAAAGGCCAAACATCGAGTAAACCAAGAATTGATTTGAGTCTATCTTTGATACCATGAAAGATAAATGAACATTCAGTCTCACTCAACCTCAAAAGCTAACTCAGATTCCCCTAAAACATTTAACAAGAGACCAACTAACTCATCCCACACAAATAGGACACTTAACAATGACAGTAATAAACTTAATTTACCATTAGTTTGGTCCAGATGACAATCAAATAAGCCAGTACTCCAAGGAGCTCCAATTGTTAAGTGTGATGGTGACTGATACACACTTTGTACTCCTTGGAACTGTTGAGGCTGTGAGGCAGCTGGTTCAGTACCACTCTCTGCCTGAGATGTTTCTCCTTCATTGTTTGCTTCAACTCTTCCCATTGTTATCCAAATAGTATTTTACAATTATCCCTTAGTATAGGATGAAGAAATATCAATGACTTCTTTTATATATATATGTTGTAGGAAAGGGATTTTTGTGTGACATGTACAGAGTGGATGGCATCTTTTGACTTGGAAAAAACAATCAATGAAAGATTATTCAGCTTACCTGTGGTCAAAAGTGTCCTTTTTCACATTATACAATTTTTAAGAGTATCATTAATATCATAGAAATGGACAATATTAAGGGGGTAAAATAGAATATGAATTTTCAAATGAGTAGTCAAGTTATTGGAAGTTTCCTACACCATTTTATTCCAAGTTGGTTATGTATTCATATGCCACTAGGCAAGTTTGGTATCTAGTTACATCTTCGGAGGAGGATTAGTATAACGTCCCTTTTTTTGTTTGTTTGATTTGCATTTTAATTATACTATTCTCTTTTTGATTTTGAATCGATGCATCTTTCGAAAACAATCTCTCTAATTGTGAGATTGGCATTGATCAAGTAATATTATTTAGACTATCCTCGTATTATATTTCGCTCTTCAAAGTATTCTCTTCAGAGTCAATCTTTTATCTCTGTGCTAGGAAAATGCCCAAGGTCATATGTAAGACTTGCTGTTAACTTAGAAAATGAACAAAAAAATAATGATATTCAGAAAGGTAGTTATTCAAAGTCAACTTGCAATAGTAGAGACGTGTAGTGCATTAAAACAGAAGATTGAATATCTAATTTTTCAGACTAATTAGCCACTATTTTTCATATAATAAAACAAGACACGTTTATATCATCATTAGATAACCCTAAAGTCAACACATGACTAGATTGTACATATTTTTCATTATGGAATAATCATCTAACATTCAAACTATATCTTGTATGCATAATGATACAAGTCTACAACCAAGACTCACTTTTTTAAATTTCTAAGACATTTCCTGTGAACTTCTAGCAAGAAGCCCACTTGTTTTCAAGAAAACATTTTCCTTCGTACCAAACACACCCAACTGGAAAAATCAATGCAGAAACTGAAGACAAATATTGAAAAATCTCAGCTAACATTAATCAATTGTATACTACAATACTACCAATATTTCTTGTTACAGCAGAGCAGCTACCAGTATCTTGCTAATTCAAAATCTGTAACATTATTTCTGTAAGGAATGTTTAGAGTAGCCTTTCCGTGTCATGCTAATTACAAAAATCAGATCAAGGTAAAAATTAAAAGAAAGGTATACAAAGATAACAACAATAGGTACTCTGTAGTACATATGTGATCTACTACTGGCCGAGGCAGATGCAGTTTCATGCTCCCTCAGGCAATAGTCACCGACCAGTGGAGTGAGCAAAAAAGCAGCAAAAATAAGCAGAGTGACAATTGCCCTATGAAAACTCGCTTTGTGACAATCTTTATCTTGATTGTTCATTGTTGCTGCCTTTCCTGCCTATGAACACACTCCGAAATTGTACAAATCAAGAAATAGCTATAGCAAAGAATTTGGATGTTCAATCACTAGGACCTTAACATTTTCCAATCTGAACTTTAGTATAGAGTGTGATCTAGTCACCAACTAATGAGATGGAAGAAGGGCAAACTCAATCTCCTGTAATGTTTTCCCTTTCGTTTCCACCACATTCTTTTTCACAAAGGCCAGTGCAAACAAGCAAAATCCTGCAAAGATCGCATAAACTATTTGTGGTCCAAGATGCTCAAGCATCGGCAGAAACAGAAGGCCGACCAAAAAATTTATGACCTGTTAAAGAGCAAAATATACGATAAGAATACATTGGGAAAGAAAGATGAAATGAAAGCATCAGTCTAACAAAATCTATGATGTTTTCTTGAGATTTCGGATAAAACAAAAGCTATGACAACAACAATTAAAATAAAAAGCAAAGTGCTGAGAACACTTAAATAATTTTAAATTACTGCTGTAGCTGAACCACACATAAACCAGAATGTGAAAGGACATAAGTAGTATGCCTGATCTCATTTTTTTTTTTCATTTTGAGATGTAAAAGATTATCTCATATCAATTTGTATTTAGAACAGTATATAGAGTTTACCAGCTAGGTTTAGATCTCTCTTAAATGATGTCAAAACTCAAAAGTCTTCCGGGAAGAATTTTATTTTAAGCACAAAACTCTTTGATCATCCAACACTGGGTCAGAGAGTCAAAGGGTTGGTCATGTGCAAAGATTAGATTCTTATTTGAAGTTAAGAATACAAAATGAATACTGCATTAGAAATTTTGGGATGAACTAGGATACCCCTAGATTTCCCCATCACATTAAATGGTTCATTTTCTGGTTCTTGGCAGTTAAAAAAAAAAAGGGGGGGGGGGGGGGGGGTTAGAGGTGGAGGGGGCAAGATTTAATTATTACTAACACTTAAGTAGACTGTGTCATTGTGCAGACAGAACAGCTCTCTTCCTCGTGATGGATAATGTTCTTTTTTTTTAATATATATCCGACAGTCAATATCGCACGGTGATGGATGAATCTACCCATCTTATTTGACTTACACCTAATAGCAGGATGTGGCTGATGCTTTCATTTCAGCAGCGACTCGTTTCAAATGACTGGGAATCTAGAACATATAGTACCCAATGGGAGATGTGTTTCGATTAAATGTGTAAATTCCGAGATACTACCGGAAATAATAAGGGAATACATCTCCTCTCCTCCCTCAACAACTAGTATTGTGCATCAACCTGCAAACTAGTTAAGAGTTGGCCATATGAATCCTCGACATCCATCTTGATCTGTTTGGACCACAGCACACACACTCCACCCCAACCCACCCACAAAAAAAAAAAAAAGATGAAACAAAAGAATGATTAAAAGAAGAATCTGATGTGAAAAGTTATTAAGACTTGAATGGTTCGTATAAGAACAATATGTAGTGTCATATAGATCATAGTTGTCAGACACAAAGTTCCAAAGGATCTTCTATTCTTCATCCAAGGTCAAAGCAAAGAGAATAATTTGCAAAAATAAAATAAAATATCAAGGGCAGGATGAAAGTACCCAATGTGCAGCCATGCATAAAGCCATTGCCTTTGCTCTAATCCGGCCAGGAAATATCTCTGACAGCAGGAGGCTGGGGACTGGACCAGCACCCAAAGAAAATGCTAACACATACCTAACATAAATAATTTCCCATTATTGAAGAAAACAACTGGCCATTGCATCTGTGCATTTGTAGTATCTCCTTAATAGTCAAGAAAGCTACCTATAGCATAAAATTGTCTCATCTTTCATTGATTTAACCAGAGTCAACAGTTACCAAGTACATAATGACTAGAATGCAATTGAAAACTGTTATCCACAGAAGCAGTACCGAAACTACTTATCTTCATCTCTTAGCTGCTTTACTGACTTCTCTTTGTTGGACAAAGAATTAACTTTCCCAGAAGGAAGGAATTATAAGCCTCTGATAGTTATCTAATCATTAAAGCATAACGAGCATTTCCAGTCCTTTCTATCAATATATTTAATGCATCAACTACTACAACAACAATCTTGAAGTGGATTACTCACAGTAGGGTCCCGCCAACTGATAGGTATAATACTGCAAAGCTTGGTACAAATGAACTCGCAGCTGCTACTTGAAGACCTGTTGCGACTGCCTGCACCAAAAACAACTCAGAAGTTTAAGAATGAGAAAGCAAAATATAGTGACACGATTCTAAGACCGGCCATGGTAAGCACAAAGGATTGAGCAAACAAGATTAGGTTACCATGCCCAAAAAACTCCCAATTAGAAGCACCTTCCTCCCAAGCCTATCCATCAACATCATTGCAATAATAGACCCTGTAGATGTTATAGGCAACAGCGAAATGAGAAATGACTAACAGATTCAAGAGTGTTATACCTGTTTTGTGTGGTGAGGGGATATGTTTACCTGTTAAGTTTACAATCCCAACACATGTATTTGCAGTGTCCGTAGGTACTCCAGCCTTCTTAAACACAGTTGAAGAGAAATAAAATACAGCATTTATTCCAGATAGTTGTTGCAAAGCAAATAAGGCAGATCCAATGAAAACCACTGTACAAACAGCAAAAGTTATAAATTCATCAACTTATTCACACAGAAAAATATTGACAGAATGGGAACACATCATCAATAATTATACCTTTAAAATGGCGACCATACAATAGCTCTCCAAACCTAACATTATCCACCTCATCTCCTTTGTCTGTCTTTGACATTTCTGCAATGGCATATTTAACATGTGGTGCTCCCATAAGCTTTTCAAGCTCTTCTTCAGCTAAATCAATTCTTCCTCTCTGAGAGAAGTCCAGAAATAAAATGTGAGTTATATTAGAGAACCATGAGCTGCTGAGTGTTTGTAAATCAAGAATATCCTGCATAGAAGCACCATAATAATATACCCGCTTTTATTTTGATAAGTACAACACGCTAACTATATTATGGTATAAATACGGTGTAGTCTTGACTTTAGTATTGATGCAAATTGAGGTAGCAGGATTGATATCAACAACGAGGGTGTGGGCTATCTTGGATTTGGAATCTTTCAATCATCCACGAGGAGCAAAGTGTCATGGAAGATTCATTAAAAGAGCTTTTAAAGTTCGTAACATGCTCAAATATATTCATGAGGGAAATGACGACAACCATATAGGTCATCAAGGACTTTTGAGCATTCTTTCAACCATCATGAGTTTAAAGGATAAAAGGAAGCATGCAAGGAAGACTTCAAGGCAACTAACATGCTCAAGTGGCTATTTTAATTATTTGGTTATTCTTTTAATCTAGGCATTTTTGCAAGACTAGTATAAATAGTTTTTAGTCTTCATATTAGGGATAGTTAAGTTTTGAAGATAGAGAAATACTCTTTGTGTGAGTTTATAGGAGATTTCCTTGGTATCTCTTCACTGAACCTTTCTTGAATACTCTAAGTAAGGATTTCCATGTATGAGTTCATTTCTCTTCCTCTTGGATTGAATCTGATGATTAATGTATTTTAATTGTTAGATTATCCCTTCTTTTCTTCTGAAGTCTATTCCCTTCATTTTTATTTATCAATCATATCCTTGCATCTTTTCTTGTTTGTTTAATTGTGGTTCAATTAATTGTTCTTA